ATTTATAAAGTTATAGATATCGAACTTGTGGAGTTCTAAAATTCGGTCTCTAAATTCTGAAACTGCAAAATCAACAAATTACAAGATTTCTAAACTCTTGAATTGTTAAGTCTTCTAGATCTATAAATTCTTGAACTTACAAATCCCATAAATCTTGAACTTCCAAATCTTCAGAGTTACAAGCACCTAAATCCTCAAACCCTCAAATTTACAAATTTTAAACTTACCCAAAATTTGCAGATCTCAAAATTTTTACACTCTCGAATTCCCAAATCCTTCAAATCCCTAAATACCTGAATTTACAAATCCCACAATTCCTAAACTCCCAAAGTTTCAAACCTACTAAATCACCCAAATGCTTAAACTCCAAAGTTTCTATATCCCAAAATTCTTAATCTCCCAAATTTTTAAACTTCAAAATTCCTAGTCTCCCAAATCCCCAAATTTCCAAATATTCAATTCCCCAAACTCCTAAATATCCAACTCCCAAAATTCCTAAATTCCCAAGTAATAAAATTCCAAAACTCCCAAGCTCCAAAATCCCCACATCCACAACTAATAATTCAAACACGACAGCATTTGAATACTAATTACAGAGCAGTGCAGTAGCACGAAAACGTATCGATAATTTGATTAAAACCAAAGGAGCAGGTGTTTCCCTTTACACAAAGAACGACTTGGGGACTTTCTTTTGTCCTTACGAATCGATGCAGGGATCTGATACACGCACAGACACAATTTGTTTCTCTGACACTACGATTTGTTAACTGTCCCCACACTCGTTCATGGGATATTTATGAGACATATGTTACCGCTGGTTGCATGCAACGAAGTACTCCGCCGTGCATAAATATTTGGTCACCCTGAATCAATTAACGACAATTAATGATACGGATTCAGCACTAGCTTTATACTGAAATTTTTATATAAATAGGTAAATGAAAATGATTTTGTTGAGTAATTAAAATGTCCATTATTTAGTTACTTATCTCTTTGTGGAGTATTGAAGTATTAATTATTACAATTATTGTAAATTAATTTCTTTTCGTGCACTTATTTCTTTTTATTCTTTATGGAAGTATTTTGTGAATAAAGTAATATTTTTTTAACTATAAGATGAACTTGTAATGCAACTATAATTGCTGTCCTGTATTATAATTACAAACCTGTACATAAACTATAATTACTGTCTTGTATTATAATTATAAACCTGTACATAAACTATAATTACTATCTTATATTAAAATTATAATTATTTCATAAGTATAATATCTATAAAATTGTTAAATTATTAAAAATGATTAAATTACTAAATTCGTAATCTTTTACCTTATTTTCTTAAAAACCACCCTCGATGTATTACAAAAAAATTTCAGAATCGTTAACCCATCGTAAAATACTAATTCGAATAATGAACAATCGGACACGAACAAATGAACAACTTCATCAAAAAAAGAAACTTTCGAATTAAAAAATTGTTTAAAACTGCTTTAACTACTGTTTTAAAGAGCATACATCTTCATGCGTACAAAAGATATAGAAGGACGAAAACGAATGTAGGACACGTGTACGATTGAAAAACACGTGTTGATTCGCTGGTTGACGCCACAACGCAAATTTTACGACAGAAAACGTAAATCGCGAAACGCGGGAATCAGGGCCACGAGAGCGCGGGAAACGGTTACGAAATCGAGCGTACGATGTTACGCTCGAGCGGAAACGCGTGAAAAAGGCATTGCTACGATCGACCGGAGACAATTTCATGCTTTAAACAGGAATCTAGCAAAGAAACGAGGAACAAATAGCCCTTAGCCATGAATTTTCTATTTGTGTGCCGACGTTTGATCTAAAACTCGATCACCTACTGTCTAACGGTGCTTCAAAGTTTTTCTGATGATCTCTTTTAATACTTTCGCTCTGAGAAACGTTAATATTTAAAAAGACCTGTTGAAATCGTCTTAGAATATTTTACTGAAATTATTCAAATACTCTTGTCGAAAGAAATTGGTTCACAGAGATTTATTTTTCATCCCTTATTATTTTATTTTTCATCCATCATATTTTTTCTTTGCTTCATTTTTAATTTAAGCTAATACTGATTAACTTTTTTTAGGCCTAATTTAAACTAGTTAATCGAGCAATTTACGATAAAGGTAAAACAGCTCCATCTTTCAAGAAAATTTGATTCACTATATTTTTCATCCACATGAAAATTAAAAAATTTGTTAAATATATGAAATTTTTTGTAAAACAGAGGTCACTGACTTCCGCTATAAATAGCGCAATAAGAATTAAGAATAATTGCTATTACCGTAATAAATTTTGAAGCTGAAGATTGCAAAATAAACTTGGAAGATGAAAGGAAAAGAAGCAGCAGCAAACAATCATGATAAAACACAACTGTTAGGAGATAGGAAGTCAGTTACGTCTTAGGACCTGAACATTTATAAACAGATGATTACTTTGAAATAACGTGCGCATATAAGACTGACGTGCAATAAACGAAAAACAATATTTGCCTTCGCATCAACGCGATCACCCTACTTAGGAAGATCAAGCGCTACTACAAAATTGAAAGAGAATAAAAGAGGAACGAATATTTGAGGATTTTTGGTGAAAAATGGAGGAGGTAAATGCGCGCCAAATGTGGGGAGGAGAAATACGATTTGAGGATTTCATATATTTTTAAGTGGTAAATTTTCAGATATTTTAAGTTTCAAATTTTCATATTTTCAATTTTTCAAATCTGAAGATTTACAAAATTTAAAATATTCAATTTTATAAATTTTTATGTCTTTGAAGCTGCAAATTTGCAGATCTCCAAATACCTAAGTGGTTAAATTTCTAAATTTCCAAATTTTCAATGATTCCAAGTTTGCACAGCTCTAAATTTCTAAAGTTTCAAATCTCTGAAGTTCCACGATTCTCAAATCCCTGAATATCTAACTTTCCAAATTTCTAAAGGTCCAGATCTTCAAATCTCCAAATATCAAATTTTCCAAACCCCTAAAGTTGCAATACCTTAAATGTTGTAATTCTAAATTTCATCAAATTCTCAAAGTTCCAAATCCCTAAAGTCCCAAATTCCTAATGTTCCAAATCCCAGAAGTCCCAAATTGTAAAAATTCCCAAATCTCGATATCTGTTAAATTTTTAAATTCTCAAACTCCCCAATTTCCAACCTCAAAAATTTCCCTATTCCTACCTCGAACTCCCCAATTTCCAACCCCCACAGTCCACAAATACAAAAATTCATCAACCAAAAATCCAGAAGTATCTCCTCACCCCTACAGTTCCTCAAACCCTTCAAATTTCCCCAGAAATGCCTAGAAAAGGCTGCGACATAATTACAGCACCAAATATAAGTACTTAAATGGGAACGTAAGGGTTCCTTTAGAACCTAAAGAAACGAACGCAGTTAGATACCGTTAGGTGCTGCACGCGCGTACGAAACGTGCACGTAGCACGTGCACGAGCTGCATAAAATTAGACGAATAGGAAACGTGGATTGTACGAGCGCACTATACAATGTACATAACGGTGAGTCGATGAGTGAGCCACGAAACCTGCACGAGACAATTCGTAGAACGTAAACCGAGAATTAATGAGAGCAGCAGCAGAGACATCCGGTTCTCACGAAATAGAAAAAGAATTATTACGATAACACTGATCGATCCCGATTAAACGGGGTGTGATACAAAGCTACTTCCGAGGGGGTTGAAGTTATCAATTTCATCGAAATCGGTACGAATATGTTCATATGTGATGTACATATGTGAAGGATGTGGACTTGAATATGTTCTTAATAAAATTTGTATGACTGCTTCTATCAAGATTTTTATCATTACTTGTTTACTTTGTAGACAAGATTTTTGCACTTGTTAATTCAGAAATGAATATTGTGATAGAAGTTTTAGAATAAATTCAGTAATCGATGGAGTAACCGAAGAGTTATTAACATATTGTTGGTTGTAGTATAATTAATGACTTCATTATTATAATCGTGTGACAATATTTTAACTAATAATTATATTTATTGTTACTGCAAAACATTTTACAACACTGACATAATTATGTCAGTAACGATAGCGATCTTTTATAAGTTATGCAAATGTTTCCTGACACTGTAACAGTTTTGGGCTATTTAATTTGTGATATGGACTTCTGTTGCCGCGTAAATTAAAAGTGTAATCATGATAATGGACATAGCCTGTTCAGTGTCATTTTCCATGTAAGTTGACCAACATTGCCCTAGCAAAATTTTAGTTGTATTTGGTTGTATTTATACGTCTAGTTAGTCTAGTAACAACGCACAAGATTTAGTCTAATCAACAATTGATTCCGAATAACTGACAATTATTCCAAATGATAAAATAACTATTAGATGACTATTAGAAGAAGGTATACTTCATCCGAAAAGATGTAAGGTATACTTTGATATCCATTTAACCTCTTCAAGGATACACATACGTGAACATTTATCTTGTTTCAAAACCCGTCAATCAAAGATCACATACGTGGATGTTACATTACTTCTATACACTAAAAATTCTTTCATACCTCACGTTACAGATCAAATAAAATACGACACCAAAAATGTCACACCTGTCTGCTATTCAAAAAATCATCCCTGAAAAGGTTAAAATCTTGTCCCGACTACCCAAACAACACAGGTTGCCATAAATTCCCGGAGAAGGCTAAGGTGGGCCAAGGTTACGCGAGTGTCACCCAGTGCCGGCGTATCACCCACAATGAAGCACATAGATGAGCAAAAATCGTTCGATCTTCCCTGTGCAAGCATTCATGTCGTTGGCTCTCCATCTAGAATCCGCAGGAACACAGTCGCGCGCGAAACAATTCACAAACAATCGGAAAGATCGATCGTTCTGTCATCGATGTACGCGTCTGGACGAAGATAGTCCGGCGAGATGTCCGGTGGTAAAATAAGGCGGTATAACAGAGAGGGATGAAAATAAATGAAGAGGCGAACACGGTTGTACCTGGCGGATGAAGCCACCATGGATTGACCAGGGATGGTTGTTGGTTGCCGTGGCCCTCGCCGACAGGGGCGTACATCCTCCTCCGACTACGTCACGCCCGTCACTGGCGTCCTGTGCGGCTGCACCCCCGACTGTCTTCAACCCATAACCCACCGCTCCTCCCGGGATTCCTGTCATTTCCCCTTCCTTCGCGTACGCAAGAGGGTTGCAAGGTTACCGGTGCCCCCTCTCCCTTGCCCTCACCCACGCCAGCTCCACAACCAAAGCAACCACCCCCAAACCCGCCACCACGGCTACCAANNGCGACCACCTCGAACGCGTTCAAGGTGGAGGAACAGCCGCCTCCACCGACGACCGACGCACCCCCGTAGCTGCGCTACGCAGCCGACCGACCGGCCACAGCCATCACTTTCGCTACAAACTGCGAGCCACGTTACTAGCAGGGCCGACAAGATGCGTCCCTGGGACTTGATTCACGAATTACAGATTTACACATTCAGTACCACATTCTTTAATTCTCAAGTTGCAAGGTTCTTTACTTGAGGATCCTTGTAAGGGAAAGTGTCGAAATTTTGGAAGTGCCAAATTCTCAAACTAAATTCTTGAATCTGAAGATTCGAATCTCTAAATCCTTACATTCTTAAATTCTCAGAGCTCTAAACACCAAATCCTTACATTTTTAAATGCCTTCTAACTGACTCCAAATCACATAGATCCTCACACACCCTAGCTCTCATGGTGTTAAATTCTCCAGAGACCCCAGTCCCGGAATTCCTACATTTGTAAATTCCTAAATTCTTAAATTTTTAAATCTACAAATCCTCAAATTCCTAAATCCGTAAATCCCTAAATTCCCAAATTTCCAAAATCTGAAATCCTCAAATTCCTAAATCTCTAAATCCTTAAGCCCCCAATTTCTCTCAAATTCCAAATTTCCCAAGTCCCAAATCTACCAAATCCCAAATCTCTCAAGTCCCATATCTACCAAATTACAAATCTCCCAAATCCCAAATCTCCCAAGTGCTAAATCTCTCAAGTTCCAAATTTACCAAATCCCAAATCTCTCAAATTCCAAATTTCCCAAGTCCCAAATTTCCCAAGTCCCAAATCTACCAAATTCCATATCTCTCAAATCCCAAACGTCCCAAATCCCAAATCTCCAAAGTGCCAAATCTCTCAAGTTGCAAATTTACCAAATCCCAAATCTCTCAAATTCCAAATTTCCCAAGTCCCAAATCTCTCAAGTTCCAAATTTACCAAATCCCAAATCTCCCAAGTTCCAAATCTCTCAAATTCCAAATTTCCCAA